TGACATTTCAAAAATCAGTATGGCGTCTCTGTTAACTTACCCTTTGGGCATTATATATATCGTTATGACATTGGTGATTATGTATATACTGGTACTCACTATATACATCTGTTGTCCATACTGGAGATCTGTACCTATTTTTGCATTTAATTCTGCTGAGTAAAATGTGATGAACATCTTCTGTTTCTCCTCAGCTGTCCATCAAGGAGGGGAAATGTAAAGCAGAATAGCAAAAGAATGTAACAACTCCAGTTTTGTAACAAATATGTAACAATCCAACTGCTAAGTATAGTAACCCAATGAATGCAGATGTAACATCCAATGTGAGCCTTTAATGTATCATCTTGAACAGTGCATGTAAATGATACAGGACTGAAATATCTGAATGCATATACATCCACTCATTATGTTTATAAATGTAACATCTATGTGAAACCAATCCATATATGTAAACATGTCCTATTTCAAAATGGAGTCCAGAACTCCATTTTAAGTTGAGAATTCTACTGACATCTATTTTAAGTTAAGATCTTGTCACGTATTAAAGCTACCTGTATATCTAGCTGTTAGGATTTAAAAATTCAAGCTAGTATACGGGTTGAAATTTGAATAATCTATAAATATTCATAAGCATCTTATGTCAGCCAATGATTTTAAAACATGCTGTTAAGCATCTTTTCTAAGCCAATCAGATCGTACCACGGAACCTAATGAATATGCATGAACCCAGACTTTTTAAGTCTCTGCCGCGCAGCAGTTGCTGTTGCGTCGGGGCGTCGGGCTTAGGGATAGGCTTAGCTTAGGTTAGAGAGAGAGTGAGTCATCCTTGTCCTAGGTGTATGAAAGAGGTCCTGTAAAGATATTCTTCTAGAGAAGCTAGCAGAAGGCTATGCTATCTCTATTTTATATAATATAGTATTTTCTTGAGTCAGGCTGGCGGAAGGCCAGACCTCCTCAAATAGATTAGTTAGGTTAGTTAGCTTAGTATTTTAGATAGATTAGCTATCGTCCTCGAGTTTGTACAGCAGGTTGCGTCGGTCCTCGCATGTCGGCCGTCATCGTGCTTGTTCGTCGGGCTCGTCGCGATTAGGTTAAGGTTTTATTTTTAGGATAGGGTTAGAGTAGATAGAACAGAGTCATCAATCGCCTGATCCGGCTGCACCGAAGCGCAGAGAAGAGGCAGCGAGGACCAGAGGGCTTCACGGAAGGTGAACCAACCGTCTTCGTCCTCCATCCGTGCTTCGGGGGATCTCCTGGGCTGTTCCTCTCCTGGGGCTTTAATTAGCCAACGGATTGTAGGTCGCCTAGCGTCGAGACCAGCCGACGAGGGACGCCTAGCTGTCCTCCCTAAAGGCTTTCAATTAGCCCGAGGGTTGTAGGTCGCTAGCAACTCATCAATCGTCTCCGTCGCCGTAGACTCTGTGTAGGTATATGGGCCTGGAGGGACTTCCCCTCCTGGTCCATTTAATGTAAAAAGGGGACTGCCCCCTCATTTGTTCCTTCAAGGCACTGTTGGTTAAATTTGTTAAATAATATAGTCTTGTGGTTTTCACTGAAAATTCGGTCTTAAGTTTTCATTTTATATGCGCCTAACATCCCTGAGAAATTATATACTCTCCGGTGATTAGATACGGAGTGAGAGTCGCACCTGAGATACCATCCCTAGCGGATGAGACCAGGGTATGGTTACAAAGTATCCATCTGGAGTAACTAGTCTACATGACACTTCTCCATCTGTTAAAAGATTACTGTAACAGTACCCATCCTGCAAGAAGCATGCGGTGCTTAGATGCGCTGCACCCATCGCAGGGCAGAAGGAGACTTTGCGTGCTCCCCCTGCTCCCAGGCCCTGATTGGACTGGGGAGTAGCAGAGCCTCTGCAGGCCAGACAGCTTGCTTGGCGGGCCCGTGGAGGCCCTTTTGCCCACTCCTGTTCTATGTGAGAAGGTACAAAGTTTCTATGTAAAAGGACTTAATACAAAGCTATATAAAAGGACTTGGTAAAGTTAAAAACGTAATACAGAGATTATATGAAGATGATCCACACTGATATGAAAATGATTAATACAGAGATTTATGACTAATACGGAGATGTATCTACATCTGAACTATGCTTTTTCTTGCTTGTGAACTATTTTATGGAATTGTCTTTAACCACAGACTATAAATCTGCATGACTATGGATCTGATCCAGTGCCCACTAAATATAACAGGGTCTTTCAATTGACTTAAGATATATCTCTCCATGTGATTGAAGTAACATTTAGCCAGTGCTAGGTGTTCAGTTGGTTAGACTCACCTTGTGTCTTTTTAGAGTTTTATAAATTCCCAGTGACCTAGGAGACAGGCGCTCTGGGTTCTGATTCCAGCTTTCCTGCCTACATAACAAGTCATTTCACTTCTCAGTACCTCAGTTTCCTCATCTGTGTAGTCATGATAATGATGTACAGTGAGCCCTCGCTACTTCGCGGTTCGACCATCGCGGATTCACGACTTCGCGGACTTTTTTCATTACATTATGTATATACGTGAATCCGCAATAGTCGAACCGCGAAGTAGCGAGGGCTCGCTGTATACATGTTAAATATACATGTCCCTACTTCGCGGATTTTCAACTATCGCGGTCGGGTTTGGAACCTATCTACCGCGATAAACGAGGGTTCACTGTACTCCTTTGTAAAGTGTGTTAAGATATCTGACAGCAAAAACATTATATGATATGACTGACTTAAGTACTGTTAATAGATCTTCCCCAACACACGTTTCTGACTTCAAGTTGTTACAATCTGAAGGCTGTTTGACCTATGTGAAATTAATCAGTGTTGAAAGAGACCTCATAGAAACAAGTCCTGGAAATGGAACTTTATTTCCATTCAGTAAAGGTCAAGAATCTATTTTGCAGGGTATTTAAAACCTCAAGATGCAATTTTTCTTCATGGGATGTGGGGTATCTTAGCTGGGCAATATGGAGCAACTTAACTTCACATGCTCTCTCCCCTATGGCATCCTGAGAATTGGGTACCTATCCCACAAATAAATTGAAAAATTCAATTTTCGGCTGAATCAACCTGGGATCGTTCTCCAACAGAAATAAGTACTGTATGTTGGAGTAGAAGACAGCAAGGACAAAACTTTTCATCTTTTGCATGTGCTAAGAAAGCAGAAGCTAAATACATCTCACATAAAAGTTTTGATAGTGATAAGAAATTACAGTAACTTAAGTTCTTGGATAACAAAGCTTCAGACAATATTACTCAGTTCAGGGTCTAAGATAATATTGCAGCTTTAATATTACAAGATAATTTTTTGTTTAAATTTTAACATAATGAAGAGTAGTCTAGTTATTTAATATGACTGGCTTGTCAGCTCTGGGACAGAATTCCCTGAATTCAATGCCAAATAATCCTGTTTATCCAGAAGCTGGCTGCTAGAAGTTCACTTACGAACTGTAACAGCTTTATTTTTCAAATAGCTTTCTGGATATTTGCATAAACTTCAGACACAGAGCTATATTAATTATATTAATTTGGAAACTGCTTTGTGGGAGCAGGTCTTTTGAGAGTCATAAGGGTACTATCAGATGGAAAGCAAGTGGCCAATATTTAAATTCAAGCTTCCTTTACATTGTTTGGATTTTCATCTTGATTCACTTATGCAAACCTCATACTACCTGAGGCATTGGGCAGGTTTTGCTCTCAAAATTAAGAGAACAGGAGAGAGAAGTGGGGAGGTTTCTTTCATACTGAGTACTTCTGGCTGATACAGTGCTTGCTCCTTCACTGAAGGGTGCTGGTGTGATGTGAACGGTTACTCTGTTGGCTACATCTTGCAAGATTTCTTTGGAGAGTGTTATCAATGGAGAAAATACTAATTATGTCAAGCCTTGAACTTGCTGCCTCAAATGAATCCTGGTTCTCAAAAACAGCCACAGGAAGAACAGCAGTCAAACTGGATGGATTTATGATGGCCCCTCTGAAAACCATTGGATTTTAGAAGGTGAATACATTGAACTGGAATTTAGTCAAATCAATACATTTTTATAGCAGAGAAAATAGCCTCCTCATAAAGCAGTCATTAGAAGACACTCTTGAGCATATGTCACTGATGTTTTTTGAATCTACAATATTTCATGTAATACTGGTTCAAGTATATCACTCACTGCCCCAAAGTTTAATTCTGTAAAGAACCATTCTTTTTAAGTTTTAAAATGCCCAATGCTGCTCATTTTAAAGTCTGATCAACCATTGCGAGTCTGAAAAGTCAGATGAGTCAACACTTAAGTTACTAAGAAATGTGAGAAATGAGATGGACTAGGTTGTATCTTTTATTTAGACCGATTTTTGTCCACAAACAAAAGCACAAACATTCAGGAAAAATGAAATTCTCAGTCTTAATGAGTTTTACAAATCATTGACAACAAAGGAACATTAGAATATATGAGTTTTTGCAGTTAGAAATATACCTTTTCAAAGCCAAAAAAGCAATTTATGATAAGTGTACTGAAAAGAATGGTCACGATCTTTTGAACATTCCATGGAAGGTAACAGGAATATTAATCTCCACTTCAGCCCTGGCAACTTCACTCATATCCTTTGCATTCAGTATAAGTAGGTAGGCAGGCTTCTGCCCTGTGCCAGGGTTAACAATCACACTCAACACGACTCCTGGCAAGCAGAAATAAACATGATTTATATAAACAAAGAGCACATAGCACTCAAGTTACTTCACTAGACTCTGACTTGGACACTCACTAACCTACAAGTGGCAAAAACTATCAAGTTACTTTCAGAATGCTGGCAAAGCAGAGCTATTACTAAGAGCATAGAGGCTGTAAAACTTATTAAAAGGAAAAAGGCTTTTCCTCTTGAGAAATCATTCTGGATTTTTACTCACTTTCCCAGTAAACCAGCTCTTTTCTGGTTCATTATAGCATGGCAGCTCTAGTCTAGCTGTATCAAATATTTTAAAGGTAGGGCTTTATTCTAAAAAGTGATCCCAAAATGATATTTCAAGATTCTCCATTGTCCCACAGATCACATTAGAAGTAGAGGAAATGATTCGCATGATAATTTCTACTTTTCTGATCATATCTTATAGGATTTTCATTTGCTGGTTGGACAGATGGACAGAACTCCATTACCTCTGCAGATTTTTTTTACCCAGCTAGTAGTAGGGTAGAGTGTCAGAGAAGGCCCTGCTCCCTTCTGCCTATTACTCCATTGAGTCTAACTAGCCCTCTTCACCCATTTTCATTCTGCCTCCATGCAAGTGGGAGCAACTGCTGTTAGTGTCCTTAAACACAGGCAGTGATACATTAAGACTGCATGCTGGCAGAGTGCCACAGCAGTACTGAAAAATGAGAAACAAGCACCTAAGTGTAAATTAAAAAAAATACTGATGCATGAAAAATGAATTCACTAGGTACTAAAAACAACCAGTGACTGAGGGCTGAGACAGATGCCGCAACATAAAAAAAAAGGTAATCACAACTCTTGGGACAAAGACCATAAAAATGTAAGTCCTGAACTAGAGCTGATGTTCATCCAATTCAGGAAAGCATGTGAGCGTGTGCTTACATACTTCTGAAATGAATAGTAGTTAAGCATATGCGTGCTTTTGTGAATTGAGCACCTAGTGGATGAAATTTTAATTCCATTTAAATCATTGGAGGTTTTGCTGTTGACTTTAGTCGGGTCAGGATTTCACCCAGTGTTTTTTAGGTTAGCTCTTTACCTCACAGTCTGTATTGTGTCTTGCATTATGCTTTGTGTAAGCTGGTGCTTTGCATCCTACACCGACACAACCACTTCATGCACTTCTCTCCCTCAAATCCCTCTGCCATTAAAACTAACATGACATTTGTTTTTACATTTATACTTTCATTCAGCTCTGCTGTTTGAATAACTTCAAATGTAATTCTTGATAGAAATGTTCAAGAGCAGGAACACATTCATAATACCCTGGAACTCTTGCTTCCCCAGTCTTGGCCACAGTTACATTTTCAGAAAATCTGCCCAATTGTTTAGACAGTTCTGCTTCACAGTAATGAGAACTGTGCTCCAAGTGCCTCAGTATTGTTATGGCACTTTGCCAAATTAAAGAGGCACCAGGTAGCAATCTACTGACTGTTAACCTAAAGGACTTGGCGTTCAAAATAGTGCTGGGTCACTAGATCAGTGGACACAAACTTATAAAAGAATCTAATTAAGTTAAAGTAAAAGTCATGTAAGATACCATCATCCTCTTCCAGGGCATCTGGATGTGAAACAAAGATAGGTTCTGATGGGTATGAGTCTGGTTCCTGCCACACCCAAGTCTCTTTTGTTTTAACATTCATCTTACAAAGCTGAAGAACAAAGAAAAAAGTTCTCAGTATGGCTTATTGTTAATTTTGCCTAGTAACATGCCTTACGTCAAACATTTGCTCATTAGAATATCAATAGTTACCCTGTCTGGAACAAAGTGATTCAATCCAAGGCCATATGCATATGTATAGGGTTTCCCAGCATATTTCTTATAATTGATTTGTGGAAACTCAAACGCTAGAAAATGAAAATACATTTGCTAAGATTAGTGGGTTTCAGATTGAGTAAGCTGCTATTGTTGCCTCTGTCTGAGGTTCAGAATTAACATCTTACCTTGGCGAGCCCCAGAAAAAAGAATCTCTGGTTCCAGCCAGATCGTTTCATCACTGTGCAGAGTTGCAGTTGCTGTTGTGTAGGGCAAGGTGACCAAATTCTTACCAGTGTCGGCCTTCAACAAAGAGAAGCAACAGCTTTTGAGAAACAAAGGAACAAGTGAAATTCCAAGCTTTGTTTATTTTCTTTGTACCTTGCAAGTTAGAGATATACAGCAGAATCATGCTAAGCAGCAAAATTTATAATTAACCAACAAAATGATTGTCTTCCTGTTTCTCAGTAAACACTTAACAGCAAGGTGCTTTGATGAAAACTCATCTCTAGAAGACTTTGTTTTACAAAACATACAGCTCTATGTTTCCTAACATACTGTGAAATCTCAGGACATAATAGCAACTATAGCTTAGTTTCAAAAACAAATAAGCATAGTACACTCTACAATGTAGTAGTATCCTTGGACTTGTCAATTGGAATTTATCGGCTCATTTTCACAACTTGCAAATTCACAGTGGCTATGTCTAGACTGCAAGCCTCTTTCGAAAGAGGCTTTTTCGAAGATACTTTCGAAAAAGCCTCTTTAGAAAAAGAACGTCTAGACTACAACCAATACTTTCGAAAAAGCAAGCCGCTTTTTCGATAGAGCCCACCCAGGAAGTCTGGATGCTCTCTTTCGAAAAAGCACAGTTTGCATTACATAAAGAGTACTTCAAAAGAGCATTACATAGAGACCATTACAAAAAGACGTTATTCCTCGTAAAACGAGGTTTTCCATGGTCGAAAACACTGCTGCGTTCTTTTGATTTACTTTCGAAAGAACGTGGTAGCAGTCTAGACGCAGGGGAAGTTTTTTTGAAAAAAGGCCACGTTTTTTCCCCCCCGAAAAAAACCTGTAGTCTAGACACACCCAGTGGGTTTCCCGTTATCTAATGTAAAATTTGTGAGACTATGCTTCACTATATCGGATCATGAGCAAAATCTAAAAAGAGAGAAACCTGGGGCCAGACTTTGTTACTTGAGTGTGAATCAGGAATCAATGGAGTTACACGGGTATGAGATCAGAATCAGGCCAATGCCTGATCTGTAGGGGATAGTTTTCTTAAGGCACAAAGAGAAGTTGGTACCCAATGCTCACTGAAAGACAATGGAACATAGGGGATTAATTCTTCTTGAGAACCTCTCCTAAAGTTACACTGAGATAATTAAATGCTGACGTGTGTATGCATGTTTTAATTAAATTATATGGGGTATATCTGATCTATAGTGTCACTGAAATTCACTGCTCTGAAGCCAATTTACTTGTCTGGAAGTGTCACCCTCATTTGTTCTTAACGCAGTCAGGATTGAGAGCAATGATTAGTTCAGAATCATCTAGAACAATAATGGTGAAATGTAAGGACCCCTGCCTTACAAAACCTATATGAGGTGGGGGCAGGGAGGCAAAGGAGGAGCAGATGCACAAAGGGCCTCAGCACTCAGCCAGGAAAATTAGTTCTGCAGCTGCTCTGAATATAGTGGCTTAAAAACAAACGTCCAACGGGCAAGCTGCTTGCTTTATAAATTCAGAGGCCACAAACCTTGTGTTGAGGCTGGTAATTTGTCAGAATCTCAACATCAGACTAGGAGCTAGGAAAGGATTTTATCCAGAAATGCACTCTGGCTGTATCTGCTCTCTGCAAATACTCTAGCTAACAAGACAAAATTATTCACCCAGTTCCAGTCAATATATACCTCCTGGAAGACATCCTGTCATGGAAGAACAGCACTTTCACTTAACACTTCTGTAAGATGTGGAAAACAACACATGGGTGCTTTCATTGGGACTGACACCGGTAGAAAGTTAGGGGTAGTTTTCTATTTCCATGATTCAGAAATTTAGATTTTTAAGAGGGTCTTCTTTAAAAAATGTTTTTGATTGAGAGCAGATGTGCAGGACCCATGCAGGCTGTAGCATTTCAAGGAATTAAATGTAGTTCAAATTTCCAGATGTACATAGCCTAATCAAACTGTTACCTTATCAATGTTTAAGGGAAGAACATATCTGCGAGCTTCAGGCTGAGGAGCTTTTTCTGCATGTTTCTTCACTTCTTCCCAGTTGGACCGCAAATTGGCTAAGTACAGATAATTGTAAACAAACTCAAACCTGTACAAAGTCAGAATCAGAAATAATCGAAGACAGTGACACAAATCTCAGTAATATCAGTCATAGTCAGACCCAGAATCATAGCAAGTTGATATGGGAAAGGCCCAGTAGGTTACCCATTCCATCCCCTAGTCAGCGCATGACTTCTCTCAGCACATCTCTAGATTATATTCAGAAATAGCACTCTGAGCACCCACTTCAGTGCTCTTACCTACCCCTTCCAGGTGCAGAGATCCACAATAAGAAATCCATTGTCTTCATAAGTGTTAATGTGATGGAAGAGGTTAAAGGCTGAGGTCCTGTATTTGATATTGAGGTACTTTCCTTTTTTTTTATCTGCTACATGAAGCCAGACCTGGAAAACAAGGAAGCATGTTACTTTTCACAGGAGAAATAGTGAAGGTATATTTACCATGACAAACCTTACATTTAGAAGGCCATTATGTAACAGTGTAATGCAATTTCACTTACCCCCATGGTTTCATTAGACTCAAAGCAATCCATATAGTTGGCACCCCACAGACTCCAAGAAGAAAGGAATTTGAGCAGGTTAATTTTCACTGGTGTTTCCACAAACACTATATAGTTTGGAGTCAGCCCAAAGCTGTTCAGAAATAGAGTTGGAACCTGTAAGTTTGCCTGTGGTGATGTCTGACAACAGTATTGCTTTATACACAGAATGGTAGCTTGACAAATAATGGCTGCTGCATTTAAAAGTCTGATTAATGTTACTGAAACATAATCCTCCTGATTTCTGCAAATCCTTAATGTTAGCTGTCATTTACTGCATGCTTAGTTGTTCTGCTTCCCATGTATACAACAGCAAGAGCATTTGAATGAGCAGGGTTCAAAAAAGAATTAGATACAACCAGTACTTTCGAAAAAGCGAGCCGCTTTTTCGAAAAACACCACCCAGGCAGTCTGGATGCTCTCTTTCGAAAAAGCATGGTTTGCGTTCAATAATGCCTTTTTTTCAAAAGAGCACTTTCAAAAAAAGGTGTTATTCCTCATAAAATGAAGTTTTCTGCAATTGAAAAAACTGCGTTCTTTCAATTTACTTTCGAAAGAATGCGGCAGCAGTCTAGACACAGGAAGTTTTTTTTAAAAAAGGCCATTTTTTTTCCGAAAAAACCCTGTAGTCTAGACACACCCTCCCTGTGGGGCATTTGACATTGGCCACTATTGGAAGACAGGATACTGGGCTAGATGGACCTTTGGTCTGACCCAGTCTGGCCATTCTTATGAATAAATCATGTTAAAAAAGCAAATGTTGTGCAAACTATATCTATCTACATTACATGTGTTATTTGCAGAGGGTTCTCTGCTAGAAAGAGCTATTTTCAAATGTGGCTCAAAGCTATGAAATACAGGTTTCATGGCAAGAACATCTCACTTCTCTGCATACAGAACTGGGTTTATATATTTCACTGTGCTGTTTACAGTAATAGCTTGCAACTTACCTGTGCACATAGGAGGGTTTAAATCTATCACTGCAAGGAAATTGCACAACCACCTCGGACTTATTCATTGGATCTTTCTTGTCTGAAATAAAAATAGTATTTAAATTATGGAAGCAGCCCCAGGAATGGCTCAATGAGACCACGCTACAAAATGTTACTAAGAAGGTTTTTGGCCTTTAGCACAAGAAGTATTATTCTCTGAAAATATCATGTGATGTCGTTTTAAAGAACATTTGTAAAAAGTTTATTATAAAAAAACTTTAGATAAGGATCAGAAAAGAAAAAAAGTCATCTGAAAAGTGATGCAAAGTACAAAAGTTTTTCTGTAAAAGTGCGTCTAGATTGGCAAGTGCCTTTGCGCAAAAGATTTGCTTTTGCGTAAAAGCATCCATGGCCAGTCTAGATGCGATTTTGCGCAAGAAAGCCCCGATCGCCATTTTAGCCATCGGGGCTTTTTTGCGCAAAACAATGCTTCTCTGTCTACACTGGCCCTCTTGAGCAAGTATTCTTGCGCAAGAGTGCTTTTTCCCGAGCGGGAGTGGGAAAGTATTTGTGCAAGAAGAACTGATTTTGTACATTACAAAGTCAGTGTTCTTGTGCAAATTCAAGCGGCCAGTGTAGACAGCTGGCAAGTTTTTTCACAAAAGCAGCCACTTTTGCGCAAAATCTTGCCAGTCTAGACACACCCATTGCGTTTAAGAAATAGGTAAACTAACCTGCTTGCAGTGGTGGGATCCGTACAATATTGTAGGCAATTGCAAAATTTTTCCCAAAGCAGTTGCCGATGTTATAAACGGTGCCATCATTTTCAATGTGGGGGTGAGCAGTTACACCGTTGATTGAAACATATTTACAAAGGTCCACCTGAAATGAGAGAGAAGTGACAGGGAGAATCATAAGCTTTATCTGGAGAAGCGGTTTACTTATCATTATGAATTGAATGAAATATTTGTCTTAGAAATGTGCTATTGTTTTAGGTAAGGGAAGTTATCATTTCGTAGTTCTACTGGTAAATGATCTGCAAATTAGCAAATATTTAGAGAAATAGTAGCAACAGCATACACACAACTCCCATTTAAGTCAAGTGGAGTTCTGTATAGAGAATCGTGGGTCGAAAGGGAAGAGTTTAAAAATAAACTACTGAAATCTCATGGACAAGCAAGCTATTGAAGATGGCATTCATGCTAGACAGTTCTGCATCCCTCCACTTGGGGAGTCAGAATCCTCCCTGAAACCTCTATCTCTGATTAAAAACACACACACACACACACACGCTAGATTAAATTCTTCAACCTTGAAGTAGGAATGTGATTTGTACCCTGCTATAACCCCCTTCTGAGTTACTTAAAGGTCCCCTAAACTTGGAGTGGGAGAGTGTGCCAGAAGAGAATGTAGATGGAGATGTGCCGATACTTCCAGGCTCATTGGTATAAAGGGATATAAGAGTATCTGATCCTAATGTCTAAGGTTAGAGCATCTCCCTTCACCTTAACTCTGGTGCTACTTTTCAGGGAGTCTGCAAAGCCTGCATCAGCACATGCACTGATTTGCAATAGGCTGCACAGAAATAGTGTCCTTTCGACAGCCATTAAAAACCCCAAAAAACAGAATCCTGGCAAAACAGACAGCAAGCCAAAAAACACAATGGCTCCATCAGGTGATGCCAGTGACTAACCGCACAATTGTGTTTCCTGTGAACAACATTTTGCCCTGTCAGCAGACCGCTTGGACACTGTTAATACATGATTGCATTGCAGTCACTGGCTCCTACTAAGAAATGCTCACTAGCCTGTACCTTTATTGTATTGCTGTGCTATTCAAACGAGATCCTACAGGAAGGATGGCCTTGGGATAAAGGCACTGAACTGGGACAACTGCCACAGATTTCCTGTGTGGACAAATCACCAAAGGGAGGATGCCGCCCAATACCCAGTGAATTTCATTGGATTTTGAGGACTCAAGTCTGAGCAGCCTTTGAAAAAATCCTAGCTTTAGTTTCTGTGTGCCTCAGTTTACCATCTCCAAAAAGATAATAGAAGTACTTTTTTTTACTCTATGAACAATGTTGACACAAACACACACAAAATACCTACTTGTTTGATTGTCTCCAAGGTCTCTGGGTTAATCTTGGTGATAAAGTTGGTCTCAGTGCAGGCATAGTAATCTTCACCCACTGGGTACACATTAACCAGGGCATTATCAGTGACCTCCACACCTCTGAAGTATGAAAAAAACCTGGGCAAATGAAATCAACAAATGATAAATTATATTCTAGTAGTGGAGCTTTCATACCATTTCACTGCAAACATGTCACTCTCCTACAACATGTAGCTTTCTCATTCACCTGGAAAATATGTTCTTGCATGGATCAGGGTAAGCATAGGTGCCAAATTCAGTTATCACGATTCTTTTCTCAGTCATTGCTCTTACATAAGCATCAGTCCGAATGAATCTTGAGAAGACCAAGAAATAGAAAAGATATAATGTACATGATGACAAAAGTGGCTAGTCTTATATAATAAAACAATTAAGCTCTCAAATATTTAAATGAAACTTGATATGAAGTTTAAAGAGATGAGTTTCATAAATGTATTTCTGCTATCAAGAGGTTCATGTCACAAACCAGAAATATATATATAAACAACTCAAAAACCTGCTTCTCTCTCTCTTTCTCCCTCCAAGGCTATGTCTACTACACTGCAGACTTTTTCCAGGGTACTAGAGATATCCCGGAAAAACTCTGCCACGTCCAGGGAATTCATCTGCTCTTCTGAAATTTTGTTCGGATCCCTGTAAACCTAGTTTTATGAGGAAGAAGAGATGTTTTGAAAAAGGGTTTTTTTTCCTCGACATTTGGCCCAGTGTAGATGGGCCAAATGTTGGAAAAGCCTCTTCCAGAAAAAGCTATGCAAATTGTGAACCACAATTTGCTTAGCTTTTTTCACTTCTTTTTCGGAAGAACAGTGCAGTGTAGACATAGCTTAAGTGTTTAGACGTGGGAACACCTGGGAAGCTAATGTGCAGCCAAAGCTAGAACCCCCTTGAATTTTGACTTCAGTGGGGCATTTATCTGCCTGCAGTATTATCTCAGACTTTTCTTTCTGTTTTTCCAGAATGGCATCTCTTATATCTTCCTTGTAAGCTCAGATGTCCTATTCAGAACTGGACATATGTTTTCCCACTTGGAAAATCTCAACTTTTCATAAAAAAACCCTGAAAAACACCCGAATTGACCTTTTAAATGACAACCAAATATTTTAAGTGCTTTTTTTTGGGGGGGGGGGAGCAGATTTTGCCTGACTAACCCCCTTCTCCCCCCAAAGTTTATTTTTTGGTTTTCTCTCACATACACAAACTTCAAGGAAAACAGACACATGAAACCTTTTTTATTTTAATTGGCTACAGAACGTTTTTTTACCAACCCAAGTCATCTTGTATCCTGGATTAATCAATTTAGATGCCAATCAAGTCTCTGGACCTTCAATATCAAACACATACTGATCCTGTCACACTGAAGCAGGCACTAATATACACTGTTGAATATAAAGTAGCAGTAAATGTTGTGTCCAAACAAGGAATCCCTGGTTAAAAACAAGAACAGTATTCTATAATAATGATCCAAAACTTTTCATTAAGAAGAAGCTTAACGGTAGGGTTTTGGTCATTGGTTTAGGACACTGAAACATTTTTCATAAAGGACTTTATTTAACTAAAGAATGGCAGAGTTGTCTAGTGAGTAAAACCTCCAATGGAGAATTTTGAGTCCTAGCACTGTCACTGATTCATTGTGAAACTTTAAGAAAGTTGCTTAATCTTCTTCTGTACTCATTCTGTCATCTGTAAAATGACACAGTTGCATAATGCAAATATTCTGTAATCTTTACATGGAAAGTGTTATGCTGGTGCTAATCATAAATCTGTTATCATTATTGCAAATTATAATAATCCCAGCATTACACATTTTATCATCAGGTAAATATGGCTCTATCATTTTTCTATTTTATCTCCTTATATTTGCTTTGATGTTTTGCACTTACCTCCGATGGTACGTGACATGACCCTCCTTAAAGTCAAATTTATGAAGGAGTGCTTGGCCATCAAACAAATGATAAAATGGTTCAGAACCAACTTCAAATAAGCCAGGCCCACATCTAAGAAGACTGCCTCTAAGCCATATGGGAATCCTGCCTATAGGAAAGATAATCAAGAGGGAATTTTGTGAGTGCTAATAACAGACTTTTCTTAAGGATCAGTGAAAGGAATAAGTATTCCAAATGCACCAATCCTCTTTCAGTCTATGTTCTCCCTGGCTACGTCTAGACTGGCCCCTAATTCCGGAAAAGTCATGCAAAGCAGGTAAGTCAGAATAGGGAAATCCGCGGGGGATTTAAATATCCCCCGCGGGATTTAAATAAACATGTCCGCCGCTTTTTTTCCGGCTTGGGGAAAAGCCGGAAAAAAGCGTCTAGACTGGCGCGATCCTTTCAAGTAGGAATAAGAGATCCTCCGGAAAAGGGCTTTATTCCGGAGGATTGCGCCAATCTAGACGCTTTTTTCCGGCTTTTCCCCAAGCCGGAAAAAAAGCGGCGGACATGTTTATTTAAATCCCGCGTGGGATATTTAAATCCCCCGCGGATTTCCCTATTCTGACTTACCTGCTTTGCATGACTTTTCCGGAATTAGCAGCCAGTCTAGACGTAGCCCCTGTGTTTCTTATACTCTTCACAAACTGGATTTTCACAAGCTCTGAGCTCAGTTTTATTTCTTGTTTTACAGACTTAGTATCTTGAATAAATTCAAGTATGGAACTAAAAAAATCAGCGAATTGTTGTTATGCAAAGGAGCAGGTTTTTTAATCTAGAAGTTTTTTAACCGCTATTGAATTCCAATTGCTTTTCACCTCCTCTTCAAGATTTAAACATGAATTTGTAGAATAGTGAGCTTTGGATTTGAATTCTCAATTAGAACTATAATGGTCTTTCATTATAGGATCCCAAGTCACCATACAAACTTAACTGGTCTGATGCACAACTTTATATGGGGATTGCTTCATCCAGCACTGAAATACAGCTTCCCCTGAGATGAAACACAGCAACTACCTAAGATTGTACCACACAATGGTTCTGGACAAAAGACGAAGAAAAATACTGCACACATGTCAAGATGCCAGAGGAATTTGCAGGCAGAATGCCAGTTTTAGGAGGAAAACTGCCCTTAGAGTTAGAGTTTGACCTCAGCAGAATTACAATCCCTGTTCTTACAAAAATGCCATGGGATCTTTAAGAACCACAAGAGGTCTGGTTTTATGTCTCCAAAAGATGGTACCTCCAGCTGTATAGTGTTTCCTAATTGCACCATGTATTATTTCAGTATTCATCCAGAGTAAGAAGAGTGAGATGTATAGAATTGTTGGTACCATTTCTTCAGCAATTAGATATTCCTACAGGTCTGTCCTGGTAACTGTTCAACCTGATGAAGAGATCTGGTGGGATCACAACACAGGTTATAAAAAGGAACTTGGTTATCCTGCTGTATCACTTTCCATTACCCTGAAATGTGGAAGCCTATGTACTTCCTGTCCTTGTGACAAGTTTAACCCATTTATCTCACAGGGCAGCACCCTGGGATCAGGCAAGCAGCATACAGTGACCTGGGGGAGACTGTTGACAGTGTGAAAGGAAAGCAATAGAAATGCACAAACCTGTGACATGAGCAGTCACTGGTGAAGACAATTCCTCCACAGTCTCAAAAAGCTTCTTGTATCCACCCGCTGGGTGTTCTATTCTGAAAGATTTTAAGAGAGCATAGATACGCCAGAGTTACAGGGCTTTGTTTCTAGATGGTGTGAGTCAGAAATTCTTGACAAAGTGGCACAATCAGCTTGGGGAGAAGCAATGGCCCTCAGAAGAATAAAGGTTTAAATGGAAGTGAGGGGAAGCCTGATGAGCTGTATTAGCTGATTAAAAATAATACAGACATTGAAGAATGAACTTGAGAGTCCTCATGTTCTTTCACTCTTGGGCATCAGATCTGAACTAACGTTTGTGACTGCCTCAGCCTCCCTGGTGGTTGCCCTGCAACAGCAAAAGCCCTAATACTAAGGTTGTGATAGTGTATGTTTACACAGTTATGCACAAGCCCCCGTCCTGTACTGCTGTCTCTGTATCAGAGGCAGCAGTGCGGGGGCGGTGGGGAGCTGGCAGGAGCCATTGCTCCCGAAGAACCAGCTTTTAAGCAAGCTTGCTATGAGCACTGGCTCCTGATGAGCCACCTGCCCCTCCCTCACATGTTGCCACCTCTGATATACCGGCAGCAGTGCAGGGAGGGGAAAGGGAACAGATGGGAGCCAATGTGCGTAGAGACACAACTTTTAAGCTGGCTTCTCATGTGCACCAGCTCCCATGGAGCTGCCACCCTCCAGGTATAACTGCTGAAAATTTCAGTGGTTACATGTTTACAAAAATGCCAAACCAAACTAAAAAAAAAAGCCAAACAAACCCAAAATGCTTTTTAACATCCCTACGTACTATTGCCAATGGGTGGAGAAACTCTAAGAACTGGGAAGTGGGCTGTGATTTTAGAGTCAAGAGTCACAAGTTCCATTTCCCAGGCCTCAGGTTAACAGTTGTTGCCAACTTGTGTGTGTGATGAAGTATATGCTTGAGTCTCCTCTGAGTCTTGCCAAGTACAGACTACAATATCAAAGGAACATTAAATATATACTATACTATACTCCATACCGCCCTGCCCTCTCATCCAGAGGTACAGGTCATCCTCCTGACCCCTGAATCTGTACCCCCCTGACCAATTTGCACACCCATCCCAGTGGAATTAGACTATATTGCATCTCCAAACAGACTGAAATTCCTCTCCAACTCTGGTGCAACCAACAGCTACTATAATATTCCCCATTTATGCCTGACCCACAAAGGATGTAAGTCTTACAGCCAACAGCTACAGAGTGTGACTCTTGAGCACATGTTGTAGAGACTTATGCTTTCAGCCCTGGAGGTACCCCTCATTCCATGGTGTAGGCCCTGATGATGACAACTATCACATTGCTCCTTAGAGAGCAGAGTGCTGTGTTAGAAAGCTGCAATAAGATGCTATGTGCAATCATTTGGGTAGATAGCTTCAGATATCTAGTAAATCCAGCAGACCCAGCTGTAGCATAGAGGAGGAAGCAGAGAGCCAGACAATGCAACTCTCTCCCCACTAATACTCCCGGGAAGAGCTGCTATCAGGCTTCATATTCCCTCCCTACTTCAGTCATGTGAAGAAAATTTCCTGGGAGGAGCCATCTAGTAGGAGCAGACTAGAGATACGCAGCTGTAGCAGGCCCTTTCAGAAATTGGTAGCATCATCAGCACTCAATGGATTTCACCGTAAAATGTGCTGAGTGGCTGTTTGTGTCCTCTTTTCCATGGTCTCTTCTATTCTTCAGCCTCCCTCCATGCACCACTTCCCTTAATACCTTCTCTCTTCCTTGGTCTGTCTGGTTAGCTAATTTGCTCCCAGCAAAACTCCACCAAGTAAGTTTAAAACAAACAATCGTGGTATTAACTTGATATTTACATTACATTGCTCTCTCTGCTCATGTGCTTTATCTCCCTCGTCTCCCCTCCCCCCATCTGTGTCCTCTATTTAGAGAGTAAGCTCTTCAGGGCAGGGATGGTCTGCAACCCTGTACAGTGCCTAGCACAAAAGGAGCCCCATTCTTGGGCAGAGCCCCGAGGTGCTATTATAATACAATTACTATGTTAATAATAAGCACCAAGTCTTTAGTCCAGAGAAAAGCCTGTAGGGATACTCACTGGCTGGACATTTTCTCCCCGATCAAGGATTTGAGCTTTCCAGAGCCAACTGCAGAATGTGGAAGTCAGAGCTGTGTTCTGGGTATTTATAGGAGTGGTAAGTCTCATTGAAGGGACTAACAGCTTCACAAAAACAGCCCAACCAATCGGCTTGGTACCAGGGAACAGAAGTTGCTTTCACCACTGAATCCTCCTGACCCTCTATTTATTATTTGTATTGCGGTTCACACAACAAAGTCTTTGAATGTTTTCCAGAGACCTAATTCCTTCCCAAGCAGAAATGGATTACAGAGAAAGAAGAAGGGAAAAAGAGTGCATTTGAGTCACACAGCCTGTAACGTGCTCTGCCCTTCACCACCAACTCTACCCTGTGCATGACGCTGCTGGATCTGAGGAGTAACAGTTGTCAGGTGTCCCAGGGTAAACCTCAGGAAAAAAAGCATTCTCTCTTCCTTCCCACCCTAGGGAATCTTTCTGGTCCTGTGTATCAGGTACTAAACCAAGTATCGGGAGACCATGAATTCTCTTCTCAGCTTTGCCACTGTGCTGTGTGACGTTGGTCGAATCCCTTCATTTCTGTGCATCTGTGACCCTGCCTGTAAAAGGCAGATAATGTTATTTACTTTTCTTTATGAATCCATTTAATATCTATGAATAAAGAGTGCAATATCCACATTTAGATAATAATCTTATGTAGCTATCCCTAATGAGTTTGCATTTTGCTACTGATCCACTTCCCATTTCCATCACATTCTGATTTAGCACTGATCGTTTGCCACATCTACCTGTTACTAATTCCATCCCGAGCTCTCACCTTGTGCAATGGATGACTTGTCTTCCTGGCTCCAGTATACCACTCCACCCATACACTATCATCAGCTCCCTCCCTCCCACATGAGGTCTGTTTTCCTACGTCTGTGACTGGCCTTAAAAACTTGCTACGCTGCAATACATAATATCTTAAAGAAATCATTTGACTTCAGCCCATGTTGTATTCCCTATAGTAAGAATAAGGTAGTTCAGGTACTGTGGGGCAGGGACAGTCTGTTCCTTTTACAGCACCAAGCACACTGTCAGTGTTTAACAAAAATCCATGCATCGTAATATTGAAATAACTGTATCTATTTATTAGACAATTTTTTCTAGCTTTTAAGGTGCCAAAGACTTGTAAGCTGCAAATGTTTAAGCCTGACTAATGTAGGCCCTTAATAGCATACAGACATCCATGCCTCTGGGATTCTTGTATAAGCCCAGTCTAACATAGAAGGAGCTATTTATTGCAAACACCTCTTACCTCTCGGTTGAACCGGAGCTGAGATTCAGGAGGTTTCTGGTTCATTGAAAGTGCCAACTTAGTATTTTCAATTAAAAAAATGATAAGGCCTAATCCTCAGCTAGTGTAAATCAGCACATCTCCATTGACTTATATGTAGTGACATCAGTTTACATCAAGTGACAATCTGGCCCTAAGCATATCATTTTTAATGGGCATCATATGAACGATGACAAGATGTTTGCTAGGATTCTCATGATTTGTCATTGCTTAACATGAAGTCTGAATGTGGCACAGTGACCTCTGAGAGAACAAGGAGCGAAAAATCACACTAACAACCTCTCTGCCATGGTTCCTATTGCAGTATGAAAATAAGGTTGCAGCAGAGAGTTGGATTAATGAGAATATTTCTCCCTCTTGCAGGAAGCCAAATGCAGAAGGTGATACAGTTTTATTCTCACAATTACATCATCCTTACTAAAGCTAGTGTCCTAAATCAGAGATAAGCATCAAGCTGACAGTAGTGGTGCAAGGATAGGAATCTAACGTTAAGTTGGCTCCCTTTTGGTCCCACTGCTGCAGAGGGACCAGGTAAAGAGTTGAGTTCTTTCTTAGATGCTCAAATTTTGCAGTTCCTCGGATCTTGCTGCTGGATGAAGAGCAATGGAGCCTTGAGCTAAGTCTGAAGAGGGTCCTTAAAAGCATGAGACCCCAAACAATCACTTTATGTTACTTGTGGTTGAGAGCAGCCCTGTAATTAAGATGACTTTAATTATGGGTTAATTTTCATCTGCAGGAGCATTTTAACAACAAATATACTCCTGTTACAAAAAAGCGCAACGAGCAAGGTCAGTAAAAGGGATGCATTTTAACAACAAATATACTCCTGTTACAAAAGTGCAACGAGCAAGGTCAGTAAAAGGGACTCTGCCTTGCAATGTTATGGCTTGCGTATCTGGAAGTAGAAATTAACACTATGGGGCTACATCTACACTGGCATGATTTTCCGGAAATGCTTTTAACAGAAAAGTTTTCCGTTAAAAGCATTTTCGGAAAAGCGCGTCTAGATTGGTAGGATGCTTTTCCGCAAAAGCACTTTTTGCGGAAAAGTGTCTGTGGCCAATCTAGACGCTCTTTTCTGCAAAAAAGCCCTGATCTCCATTTTCGCGATCAGGGCTTTTTTGCAGAAAACAAATCTCTGCTGTCTACACTGGCCATTTTGCGCAAAAGCTTTTCGGAAAAAGACTTTTGCCCGAACGGGAGCAGCATAGTATTTCTGCAACAGCACTGACAATCTTACATGAGATCGTCAGTGCTTTTGCGGAAATTCAAGCGGCCAGTGTAAACATCTGGCAAGTTTTTCCGCAATAGTAGATGATTTTGTGGAAAAACTTGCCAGTCTAGACACAGCCTGTGTGTGTCTACACATCACCGTAACTCAAAATAAGATACAAATTTGTGTCTCTTATTTTGATATTGTTTTGAAATAGCTTATTTTGTCATTTGGCACTGTCAACACAGCACCACATTTTGAAATAAAGTGCCATTCTAAAATGCACCTTACTTTTCGTAGAATGAGGTTTACAGAGATATCGGAAATACCTGAAATAGCGTTGCAGTGTAGATGTGAAAAAAAGACACTGGCCTCACACTCTTTGCTACTACTTGAAAGCCATGAGTTTTATTCTTGAAGCTGGCCCCTCGCTTTTTTGGCAGGTAGAGAGGTGCATTGCAAAAGCTGTAGCAGCTAAAGAACAGCTGTCTCTTGCTCAGCAACTGAAAATAGAAGAATCTCTTCACTTCCACTCAGCATTTAGCCTGATTTAATAGTGCAATACCTAGCTAAACAACTTAAGAGTTAGATTAAAAATTATATGTACTCTTATCCACAGAATGCAATTGCAGAATACACCACTTCTTCAATACTCCAGACTGAAAACTGCGCCATAGCAAACTTAGTTCATTCATATATCGTCTATTGGCTGCCTGCACATGTATTTCCTGTTAGATGGTGCTGATCATAAACTGACCAAACTCCTGAACAGGCCAACACTACAGCAGATATCTTTCTTCCGGAAAACACTCTCTAGCGACTGTTCTGTCACACTGGCACTATGTTTCCATAAACAGGATGGAACATTCAATTATTGTCTAGTTTTACAACGATGCAAGGTGACTAGCACTTTATCCCATTGAGGTTAATGGAACTATTAATAAAGTCCATGTAAAGACAGCTCAGTCTGCTCTATGCAAACAATTCAGGAAATTTCTGGAATTTATTTACAGGTACTTTTGACAGCCAACAAGCCATGTGGTATTCTAAATGGGAGCTAGACCACACAGACGTGCCAGAATAACCAGTAGCAGATAAGAGACTGGGATTCTTGTGTGCAGGATAGTTATTTCTGGTTAAATAGGACACTAGAAGATAGAATGAATCACAAAGACAAATTCTACCTGACCCCATGCAGTTTTCCCTCTGCACTATGTATTTCAAGCATCTTTGTTTCAATTAAAAACATAATTCCTTTTCAAAGCAATGTAGTTACTAATTAATCAATCTCAGAGGGGTAGCTGTGTTACTGTGTAACTTTAAAAAACAACCAGTAATTCTGTGGCACCTTAGAGACTAACAAAAATATAAATAGTATCATGAGCTTTGGTGAGCAAAATCCCCTTCATCATCATCTGATGAAGTATGTTTTTCTCATCATCTAATGAGGTGGGTTTTGTTCATGAAAGCTCATGATACTATATATTTTTGTTAGTCTCTACGGTGCCACAGGACTACTAATTAATTAATTTGTCCTCAATACTCCTGACAAGTTACAATGTTTTCACTTTACAAAACTTAGAGACCGACACTGTGAAGTACTGGATTCAACTGTAATTAATCACTCAGACCAAAATAAGAGTTATACACAAACTTACACCAGTTTAACCACATCAGTTTAAAAACACACTTTTAGCTAAACCAATGCAAGTTTGTGTTTAGACAAGGTGTGTGTGACAGGGATGAGATGAAAGCTCAAGAACTAGCACCTAGTTTTTGGTCCAAACCCCACTGCAACATATAGAGATGACTTATTCAGAGAGAGAGAGAGAGAGAACTTGTTTCTGTCTTGCTCATACATCATCATAATAATCAGGGGCTGTAGAATTCCATTTAAAGTGAGAGGCCCATAGATTTGTTTCCTTCTTTCTCCTCTCAGGCACCTCTACTATTTCATTAGTCTGACCTATAAGCCCCAGCACCTTCTGAAACTGGATGAAATTTGAGTTGAGCGAGTGGCATTGCAGCTTGATACATGGGATTGAAGTGCCCCTCAGGTCTGGCCTGCTCAAAAAATAGTCCAGCCATGGCCCAAAAACTTCACGCTTACTCCCCAGCTCCCAATGCTACAATGAAAAGTGTTAACTAAATCCTCAGTGCAGAATCTTTACTGTTTGTGATGTGTGAAGAAAAACAGATTGAGTTGGCAGAGCTGGGTGCTTAATACCATCTTTTCATGTGTGAAATGAAATTTGACCTTAGATCATGGAGAGACAAACATGGAACCCTATGTTTCACAGAGTAATTTTTCACAGATCACAAATACACTTTAAGAACAGGGAACTCTATTACTAGTACACATCTCTGATAAGTGATAGGAAATGGAGTGAACTCAACTGATTAATTGGTCCTTGTGGCTAATTTTAACTTTGCAGCATTGTGCTTAAAAGGAATACTGCCCAGTTTGAAACAGTCTTTTTAAAATGAGTCAGAAAGAAAACTAACTAATCCATAGGGGTTCAGTTTAAAATGAAACAAAGAAAGAGCATTTTTATAGTGTGTCACTCATTTTAAGGCATCAACTGTCATATTGTTAGTCAGATTTGTTATTTAACTAGCTGTTACTTTAGTTTATGTCAAGACTTTGGACTATAGATTAAATAACATGGATCAGGAACACTGTATAATTGGGGCAGTCTTCTGAAAGCTAAATCCTAAGAAATGTTAGCCTCTCTCCTAATAAGTTGTTTATCTGGAACATGTAAGTAAGTAAAGTATTAACACAGAAAGAATAATATGCAAGTCTTACAGCGAGTAAGGTTAGGCAGATACTAGTATTTGCAAACTGTTATAAAGGCTATTGCCTCCATACTGTGTATAGGTGACATATATCATACTCAGTTGTAATCTGGCACTTTACAATGCTTGTAACTTTCTGGCTCAGGGGTGTGAAAAAACACCCCCTCCCCAAGTGCAGCAAGT